AGGTGTACTTTAGAAGACATTTGTGTTCTTCTGTGTTGGTGGCAGTGTTCTGTATACATGCTAGGTCTAGTTGGTTTATTGTGTTGTTCAGGTCTACTTCCTTATTTATCTTCTGTCTGCTTGCTCTATTATTGATAGTGGGGTATTAGAACCTCCAGCTATTATTGTAGAACTGCCTATTTTTGCTTCATATATTTTTGAGGGTCTGTTATTAGGTATGTAAATCTTCATAATTTTGTATGTTCTTGCTGTTTTGAAACTTAAATATAATGTCCTTCTTTACCTTTTGTAAGCTTTTTTAAGTCTACTTTGTCTGATATCATATAGCAACCCCAACTCTCTTTTGGTTACTATTTGCATGAAAAAAATATATATATATAGTCCACCATCCTTTCACTTTTAACCTATTTGTGCCTTTGGATCTTAAGTGAGTCTTTTGTAGAAAATATATAGTTGGATCATGCTTTCTTTAATCCAGTCTGACAATCTCTGTCTTTTAATTGGAGAGTTTAATACATTTAAATTACTGATAAGTGATTTAATTCTTCCATTTTGCTATTTGTTTTCTACATGCCTTATAGACTTTTTGACTCTCATTTCTTCTATTACTGACATTTCTATGTTCTGTTGGTATTTGTAGTGAAACGTCATAATTTTTGTAATTTTTATGTATATTCCTTAGATATTTTCTTGGTGGTTACCATGGGGATTACATTTAACATGCTAAAATCATAAAAATCTTATTTGAATTGATACCACCTTAATTTCAATAGCATATAAAAACTCTGCTCCTATATAGCTTTACCTCTTTTTTTTTTTTTTTAACCTGAGCCATCCTGCCATCTGTTGGTAGCTCAGCGGCTGCTCAGCTCGGGCCAGGAATTGATCCACTGTTGCTCAGAGCTCAAACTTTTTTTTTTTAAAGATTTTTATTGGGGAATTGGGGGATGGGAACAGCGCTGGGGAATTGGGGGAAGGGGAACAGACAAGTTGCTGTCGTCTTGTTCTTCAGTTTAGTTGTGGAGGACGTTGCTTCACTGGCCCAAATTGGCACCATCATTGTGCTCTTCCCGGGCGAGGCAGATCAGTCACCGGCTTCTGGATGGCCGCTCATGGCGGCTGCTGGCTATACATGGTAGCCCATGGCAACCCAATGCAGCAGGGGCTGCAGCCTATGCCGTCGCCAGCGACTCATGGCATCTCAGCTCCAGGTTGAGCTGCTGTTCAGCATCTTAGCTGTAGAGGGCAGTGTCACTGGCCCTCATATGTGGGATCCGAACCGGGGCCCTCTGGCGTCCCAAGTCAGCTCTTAACCAACACGCCATTTGGCCGGCCCCAGAACTCAAACTCTTGAGCGAGCTCTTAACCAACTGAGCCACTCAGCTGGCCCTAGCTTTACCTCTTTTAAGTTATTGTTGCCACACTTAACATTTTTATAAATTGTATACCCATTAACATAGATTAATAATTGCTTTTTATGCATTGTCTCTTAAATCACATAGAAAATAAAAAGTGGAGTAATAAACCAAAACTACAATTATACTACTTTATAATTGCCTATGTATTTACTTTAATCTCAGATCTTTATTTCTTCATACAGATTCAAATTACTGTCTAGTGTCTTTTCATTTCAACCTGAAAGACTCCCTTTAGCATTTTCTTGCTTGAGCAGTCCAGAGGTAATAAACTCTCCCAGTCTTTCCCAAAGGGACTTATGTCCTTTACCAGGGTGAGTGTACATTGGTGATAAGGGAATAATCAGATCTTTTGGAGATTACTGGACGCTGGCTCTGAACTGACACTAATTCCAGGAGACTCAAAATGTCACCGTGGTCCACCAGTTAGAATAGAGGATTATCGAGGTCACATGATGAATGAAGTTTTAGCTCAGGTGTATCTCACAGTGAGCCCAGTGGGTTCCCAAACCCATCCTATGGTTATTTACTCACTTCCAGAATATATAATTTCAATGACATACTCAGTAAGTGGAGGAATTCCCACATGGATTCTCTGATCTATGAAGTAAGGGCCATCATGGTGGGAAAGACCAAGTGGAAGCCACCAGAACTGCCACTTCTAGAAAAAAAGTAAAAGTAGTATTGCATTCCTGGAAGGATTGAAGAGGTTAGTGCCACCATGGCTAGTAGCTGTTTTTTAAACTTTCTTCTGTGGTTTCAAAGCTTAAGCATCAATAAGGAGTTTAAGAAATGTCCCCTTTCTCCCTTCATAGCACTCAGTCACTTCTGCTGGATTGAGCCGAGAGAGATGAGAGAGAGAGAGATCTGCTGATGAGCATGAGCGCACTTGTTCTGGCTCTGTTGTCTTGAGGCATTCTTTTCTTGATGGTCTTTGCTGTGGTATGATACATGCAAAGGCCTTCCATACCACAAGATATTTTCAAACTAATTTATATTTCATCATGCCACATTTCTTATTTCTCTTTTTATATTTATTTTGTGAACTAGCTTGATTTCCCCCAAATAAGTAACTATTTTCTCAAGCATTCCAAATTGATTTAAAATCATCTTTCTCACTTATCCTTCCTTTCTCTCTTCCTTGTTACTTTCCTGACTCTCCCTTTAGTGCCATTTAGCTGACTTGTATCATTGTCACACTGACTATTATAGTTTTATATTAAAATGCTAGTAATAGAGCAAATTGAGCTTTATTATTTATCACCATTTTCTTGATAAAAATCACCAATGCAGTCATCTAGATAAGTATTAGAATTACTCTGTGGTGTTGAAAAATGCAAATGATGTTTTAATTATATTAAATTTACAGCTTTTATGGGAGACCTTGAATTTAGGTTTCTTTAAAATTTTATTTATATAAGAATATGTGTAATTCTGCATACATAATTAATGCAAAAATGAAAGTAACTTTTAAGATTTCTGAAACATATTTGACATGCTTCTCCCCCAAATTTAATATACAAATTATCTCAATCAAGCATTTAGGCCTAATTTTGTTCAAAATCCTTTGAGTACAATAAGCCCTCACTTAACATCATCAATAGGTTCTTGGAAACTGTGACTTGAAGCAAAACAACATATAATGAAACCAATTTTACCATAGGCTAATTGATGTAAACAAGAGTTAAGTTCCTATGGTGTATTTCTGGTTATAAAAACATCACCAAATTTCTAAATAAAGACCCAAAACACTTCTAATATTAAACATTGAAATAAATGTGATCTAGACATATATTTAATAAAGAATAATAAAAACAAGTAAGATAATTATTTTCCAACCCACTTATTCTAGGTCAGCGTTGAGGGTGGCTGGAACCTATCCTGGCAGCTCAGGGCCCAAAGTAGTAACCAGCCCTGGACAGGATACCCTTCCATTGCAGGGTGCATTCACTCACACACCCACACTCACTCAGACTGTGACAATTTAGACACGCCAATTAACCTAACATGTACACCTTTGGGATGTGGGACGAAACCGAAGTACCTTGAGAAAACCAATGCAGACATGGGGAGAATGGGCAAATTCCACAGATAGTGCCTGTGGCCGAGAATCAATTTTTTTCTCACCAGCATTATAATGAAACTACATTGAATGAAACATTATTCAAGGAACATGTGATTTATGAAGATTGCCATCCTGTCTGATGGGAATAGGCACTATTACTGACCCTATGTGAGCTCACAGTATTTCTCTCTCAACCTTTCCAGTGGTTCTTTCCTGGGGGTTGCACATGCACATGTTGGTTGGTACTCAATTGATACTTGAGGAGGACGACCCTCCTCTTCGGTTTCCCTTCTGTATCCTGTGACCTGAAATTTCTCTCCATGGGGCAGTTCAAGGGCTCACCTGGTTCTTTACCCACCTCTGTGGGTTCACTGTTCTTCACTGTCCTATGTCCAATGGCTTCAAACCTGTTGTTTCACATATTTTCTCCTTTTTAAAGTTTTTTTAGACAAGAGGCTAAATCTGTTTCCTGTTAGTTCATTTTGAGCAGAAGCAAACAGGAAGTAATTTGAAAACACTTTTGTCAAATTCCTAGAAAAAGAGTGTGCGTCTCTTTATAAAGACTTTGATATGTTTCTGAGCTTTCTATTCCGTTACACCTAATCAACTTTTGTATTAGTAATTTTAATTATTGTATATAGTTTTAAATATCTTCACCTTTAGTTTTTCCTCATTTTTTTATATTAAAAAAAATAAACGTCAGAATCTTCTCTTTAAAAAAGAAAAATGCCAGTACCTTTGGCATTGTTTAGAAGTTCATTACGTGCTGTTATTTAAATGTAAAAACACTGGCGCGAATCTGTAGGATGGAGGGCAAGTACACAACCAGGTAACATTGTTACATTTTTTAAAAAATTAATAAACACTACAAAGACCCTATAGATTAAAAAATAAAGATTTCAGTGCTCAGCAGATCCACCATATACCCCGAAGTCAGTTTGATTTTACCTAATTTTTCACAATTTCTACCAGAGTCCAAGTAGTTGTAATTCTGACCCGTGCGCTCGGGCTCCAATGGAACTGAGGGGTCAAGTACCAGAGACCATCACTGGAGGTCCAAGCCCAGAGGGACTTTCTGAGCAGGCGGACCCCAGCCCTAAATGTATTGCATAAGTCCAGTCCACCCGGAGAAGGTCTGCGTAGTGTGGGATCGCCCTCTGGGACATGGTGGGTATTACAGACGCCTCTCCGGAGGCATTGTGGGTACTGTAGTTCCCCGCTCCGGGGCATTGTGCGTAACGTAGCGCCACAACCTCGGAGCGGTGTGGGAAGTGACGGATCGCGGCCAGAGGCGCGAGAGGCGTAGTAGTCGGCTTCGGAGGCGTAGTAGTCGGCACCGCGGCATCGTGGGTAGTGTGGCTCCGCGCTGCGGCGCATTGTGGATATTGTAGTCCCATCCCAGGACATTGTGAATAGCGTAAACCCGCCTTTGGGGCATTGTGGGTATTGTAGCCCCGCGCTCGGGGAGCACAATGGGTAGTGTAGTCCCTCGCCCCGGGGCATTGTGGGCTTTGTAGGCATTGTAATTCTACCCTCCCTGGGGCGCTGTGGATATCGCTCTCCCACGCCCCCAGTGAGTAACTTAGCGTGTGGTGGCCGTCCTTCCGCTCTTGTGGTGAGCGAGCCCGCGAGGGCAGCCAGCTCCGGGGTAGGAGAGTTAGGATAACTGAGGGAGGGCAGAGGGGGATGTCGCACTCTGGCCGTGGCTTCCTTGAGGTTTGATTTCCCGGGTGGGATTGCAGGCTGGGTGCGCAGCGCCCTGTCCTGTAGGGCCTGGGAATAGTTTGGGTAATTTTGCGACCACGTGGACCCTTGGCTTGGCGCAGACGTCCCCACAGCAGTGGCAGGATGCTCGGGCTTCTTATGTTCATGGGGGCGCGGCTGGGTGGTGCCCACCATAGTGGTAGAGGCGCCGCTTGATCCGGAGGACCCGGGTTTGGGGTTAAGCATTGGCCTGGAGCAAACACCCAGATTTATTTGGACGGTGAGGGGCGGCTGGGGCCGAGTGACCGGGGTTGGCGACCTCGGAGTCCTGGGGAAGTTGCAAGGGCCGAGCGGAGTCAGCCATGCTGGCTTGCTTGCGAGTCCTTGTGCCCAGATGGCTCCCACTGGCGTGGGGGCCCATCCATGAGCACCGTGTAGAGTAAGTGGAGTGGAGCCCACGGGATACAGAACTTTCCCCAAACCCCACGGGGCTGCTGTTTGACACCCTGAATTACTGGGGGGTGAGGTGGGAGGGGGTAAGACACCCAGACTTAAATTCTTTTTAAATTTTCATTTTGAAACATTGCAGGCATACACAGAAGTGGTCGTGAGGTACCATGGATTCATCACTCACATTCACCACTTACCAATGAAAACCTGTCCTTTTCCTTTTAAGTCTGCAACCCCAAGTGTGCATCTTGTTGGGCATTGTCTCTCCCCAGCGGCCCATGCCACGCCTGCATCCGGAGTCCCCATCTTTCTAGGGAGAGTTCAAATCCAAGTCTGCCCCTTTCTCAGTGAAGCTGTTGTCTGTGGAAAGGTAAAACTTGTATCTGGCACATGCTAAGTCCTCAGTAATGTTAATTTGTGTTTTTACTAAACCCCATAGGCACATAGAAGATGATGTCATGCTGGGTGCTAGCATGACATCAGAGCAGGCTCTCTCTAAAACACACACACACCCTAACTGTCCCTGGGGCTGTCCTTCTCAACCTGGTTCTGATACTTCAGTGAAGAGGACCCAGCTGCAGGTTTGGGAGTTTACAGACTGCAGTCTGTGCTGGGCGAGAATCCTGAGGCTGGAGCTGCTTCTATTGTGCCCAAGTCTGCCCTCAAGCATCCTGAGCTCACTGCAAGTCCAGAGGGGCTGCCTATGAGGGAAGGGAGAACTCCTAGGGCCCTGGCAGCCCATCTCAGGTGGGCAGGACGTCCTTGTGTTCCTGTGGTGTCTTTGCTTGTAATGGAGGGTGCATTGCTTTGCTTGTCCTTGATATCTTGTGGGTACTATCCCTTCTGGGCTCAGCTGCAAGTGGTTTCCTAGGAAAACAGGCCTGTGCTTGAAGGGGCACACCCCGCTGCCCTCATTCAGGGGCTTGCCAAGATCTACAGGGAACTCCCTCCCAGACAGCCATGCAGCTGTATTCTCAGGGCCTTGCAGTGCTGGCAAGACAAATGTGGTGAGAAGTAGTGTTCGGAGAGCAGTAGTCCAGTGTAGGAGTTGTGCTTTCTGTTCATTGCCATACTTGATTTCCTCAGCCTTTTTTTTTTTTTAAGATTTTTTTATTGGGGAATTGGGGGAAGGGGAAGACAAGTTGCTATCCCTTTGTTCTTCAGTCTAGTTGTGGAGGACGTTGCTTCACTGGCCCAAGTTGGCACCATCATTGCTCTCTTCCTGGGCGAGGCAGATCAGTTGCTGGCTTCTGGACAGCCACTCATGGCGGCTGCTTGGCTGCTCACAGTAGCCCATGGCAACCCACTGCAGCAGGGGCTGCAGCCTATGCAGACGACGGCGACTCACGGCAGCCCAGCTCCAGGTTGAGCTGTTGTTCAGCATCTTCGCTGTAGAGGGCAGTGTCACTGGCTCTCATATGTGGGATCTGAACCGCGTCCCTCTGGCGTCCCAAGCCAGCTCTTAACCAGTGCGCCACTCGGCCAGCTCTCCTCAGAGATCTTGTACGTTAAGTAGTAGAATTCTCATTTTATAGAGAGGGAAATGTAGTAACTTTTACCTTGGAGTTAGCTATTCTTTAACCTTCAAAGTTGTAATGAAAAGTTAAAAGACCTAGTGCTCTGTTTTTCAAGTTTGTGTCATACGTACAATGCTGATAAAAACATTTGTTCACTTTCTGGTGATCCTTGACATCTGGAGCCCCTAATGACATTAACTTCTGTTGGTGCCATTAATGGCACCAACAGAAGGCGGGAATCAGACCATCCAGTGTTTGCAGTTTACTCCCCCCACCCCTCTTGAGGTTTTTTCTACTTTTCCTTATTTTGGAGTTGTGAAGGGAGATGGGTTATTAAATTTTAAATTATGAAAATTTTACAAATATAGCCAAAAGTGGTGAGAATACTGTAAGAGCACCTATGTGCCCCTTGCTTAGCTTTAACAATTGACAACATTCTGCTCTTAGTTTTTTCTGCTGAAGTATTTTGCAGCAAATCCCAGGTAACGTTTTACCTGTAAATACATCAGTATGTATTTCTTTTGAATAAGGACTTTAAAGAAAACAACCTTTCTATCACGTGTTACACCCAACAAAATTAACCAAAATTCCTTAATGTCATCTTAATAGTCAGGCTGTGTTCAGTTTCACCAGTTGTCTCAAAATGCCTTGTACAGTTTAAAGCCTGCTCTCAACAACCCAGGTAAGAGGCATGTGCAGGACAATATTGGGAATTCTGCCTTCTGTATACTCCTTTGCTTTTCTTCTCACCTGTTCTGGCCCGGGGATCTGTGTTAATGGCACAATTCTATCTCTTGGCACATACTGCTTGAACTCAGGCTTCTTGCCTCCTTGTGTTTTCCAGATTTCTCACTAATCTGATGAGCTATTGAGTCTTGTCAATTCTTCCCTTTTTCCTTTCTCCTTACCTTTATGTTAGCTGAGCATATTGTCTTTCCCCATGTTCTAGTTCATCTTCATGTTACAAAAGGGTCCTCTGTCGCAGGTTCTGAAGTCAGACTCTGAGGCTCCACTAGTACTGGCGCTGTGACCGTGGGCATTTGTCTTCCATCTATGTCCCTCTCCTTTTCTCATCTGTAAAATGGGGCTAATAGCAATGTCAGGGTTGTGAGGGGGAAACGTGATCGCACTTTGAAAGTGCTAAGGGTGCCTGGCGCATAGTGAGTCCTCAGGAAGTGGTAATGGTGATTATCCATTCTGAGCTGCACCGCCAACCAGCCTTTCCAGAGTCATCCTTCACCCTACACTCCAACTGGACTCTGCTTTACAGCCACATGGGAATCTAGTCTATGCAGTTTTATTCCCTCATGCATTTATGCTTCACACTGTCACCCTTGTTAACCAACTAGCTCAGATGTTTCTTCAGTGCAAAGATTTCTGAGTGTTCTCAGAAAGTACTCCCAATGTCCCCTTTAGTCCCAGAGCACTTTTGCATGAGGACTGGGGCTTGCATGGTGTGTCTCAACTGTCTTAACTGTCCCATTGGTATTGAGGTGGTTCTTTGAGGGACGGGCACCTTGTCTGGCTCCTGAATCCTGGGTCACTGCTTGGCACTCAGCTGTGAAGATATGAGGGGTTGTCCTTTTTGCCTGGAAAGGGACATTTGTGTGGGGAGTGATGGAAACTCAATGGGAAAGGGGGTTGGGCTGTTGTTGGGGAGGGCTGTGGGTGCCAGGATAATAGGTGTTCTGTGGTCAGTGGGAGCCACTGCAGGGTTTTGACCAGAGTGGGGTCATGATTTCTTCCTTCACTTATTACCTCCTCTCTCTGCTCCCCTTGAAAATTACCAAGAGAGCTGTCTACATTTGATAAATCCAGCTTTTCTCCACCCAATCTTTATTTCATTTCCAGATATTTGGGATTTTTCTAAATGACTTATTGTTTCTGAATTCTTATTTAATTCCATTCAGGTCAAAGAACAAATTATATGTAATGTCAGTCCATGTAAGCTGGGAGTTATTTCACGACCTAGCATATACATACAGTGTCTTGGTGAATGTACCATGGGCCGTTGAGAAGAATGTATTCTGCAGTTGTATGTAGTTCTAATAATATGTTAGGTCAAGTTAGTTGATTGTTATGTTCAGATCTTCTATTTCCTTATGATTTGTTTAGTTATTTTAATTTATTTAGCATTAGTTTAATCAATTTTATCAGTTTATCAGTAGTTATTTTATCAATTACTGTGACAGGGTGTTAAATTCTTTACCTAGGATTGTAAAATTGTCTATTTCTCCTGTAATTCTGTTCATTTTTGCTTCACATATTGTGAAGATACAAATACATTTACCTTTGGTATATTGTTCTGATGATTCGACCCTTTTATTATTATGAAACATCTCTTTGTATCTCTGGTAATACTCTTTCTTTTAAAATATACTTTATCTGGTACTAATATTGCCACTCCAGCCTTCTTATGCTTACTGTTTGCGTCCATTTTCCATCCATTTTCTTTCAGCTGACCTGTGTCTTTATGTTTAAAGTATGTTTCTTGTAGATACCATGTGGTAGGGTCTTGCTTTTTTATCCAGTCTGACAGTCTGTGCCTTTTCATTAATTGATGGGTTTCATGTAATTACTGGTATGGTTAGATTTAGGTCTCTCCATTTACTGTTTGTTTTCTATTTGCCGCCTCTGTTTTTTGTTCCTCTCTTTCTATTCCTGCCTTCTTTGGGTCAATTGATTATTTTTTGGAATTCCGTTTAATTGCCATTTAGTCATACTGCTTTGCATTTTTACTTTTTATTTTTAGTGATTGCTTTAGATCCATAACTTTTCAGTCTGTGTAGAGTTAATATTGAAATAGTTCATGTAAAACGAGGGGTCCTGCAGTCCTCCTTTCCCCTAGCCTTTACGCTGTAGTTGTCATATACATTGCACCTACATATGCTATCAATCACGCAATGTGATTTCAAGATTTTTGCAATAAACAGCCATATGTATCTTTTAAAAATTAGGAGAAAAAATGAGATAGACTTGTGTATGAACATACTTATCATTTCTGATGCTCTTCAGTCATCACAGAAGATCCATGTTTCCATCTGGCATCATTTCTCTTCAGCCTGAAGAAACGATTTCTTGTAATGCAGGTCTGTGGGCAATAAATTCTCTTGGTTCTGTCATTAATCTTGGGTACTTTGGGAATTGCAGGATTGTAGGTGTATGTTTAACATTATAGGAAAGCATGTTTAACATTTTTAACAAAATTGTTTTGCAATTTTACAATCCTAGAAGCATTGTATGAGAATTCTGTTGCCTCCTGCACTTCTAACACTGGTATTGTCTTTAAGCCATTTTAGTTGATACAAAGTTTATTAAGTTATTAAGTTGATCTGTTTTTTACTTCTTGTCCAATCTTTATTTCTTTTAATTAGTTTCCTTCACTTTTTGCAACTTTTTGCATTATTTATGTCTCCTAATCTAATGTTGGCATTGAGCTGGTGAGATCACACATCCTTTCCTTGTTCCTTGATTTTTGGGAATTCAATATTTTACCATTAAGTATTGCGTTAGCTCTAGGTTTTTTTCTGTAGGTGCTTATTTATTAAATTGAGGACATTTGCTTCTATTAGTAGTTTACTGATAGTTTTTCATCATGCATAACCATTGAGTTTTGTCGTGGTTTTTTTTCTGCATCTATTGAGGTGATTTTTCTTTTATTCTGTTAGTGAAAATACTTAAATTGTTTTTCAGTTGTTAAACTAACATTGCATTTCTTAGATAAATCTCACATGTTCATGATGTATTACTATCCTTATAACAAAGTCAGATTCGACTTGCTAATGTTTTTAAAGGATTTTTTTCATGAGGGATATTGGTCTGTGACTTTCCTTCTTGTAATGTCTTTTTTCAG